TAATAAACAATTGCAATGTTAACTAATTGTTTATTAACAATCTACTTATCCAAAATACTTCATACAGGGCTCGTTGGATGCGGAATTACGTTAAGTTTCAATTGCTAACTTCAGAATTACGGTAACTTTATTCTTTTGTAAAATATTTCATTTGTTATAAACATTAATTAATTAATTAATTAATATCTCAAAAACTTTAAAAGATCCCACTCTGAAAATTACATGTTTTGTAGGAAATTAGTCAAGCTTTCCATTGAGATAGTTAAAAATAATTTTAAAAAATCCGATTTTGAGATAAACGTAAATTAACATTTTGTCCTTGAATTTCAAGGTCAAATTGATTTTTAGACTTTCACCAACAATAACAACATTTTAGAAAAGTATGGATTAAATTCGAGAACTTTTAATTTTTTGTTCGGACATTTCAGGAATTTTGTCTCATATTTGTGATGAGTTAATTTCTAAACTAATTTTGTTTTATGTAAATTGAATTGAATTCAATGTTAATTTATTTATCTTTGATATAATAATTAATAAATTAAAGTGAATAATAAAATAATTAAATGGTTAATTGCATAATTATATACATTATAATTATTTTATAAACATTTTTATTTTTACTGAACTGTTTTTATATATTATTAAAACTTTGGTTTTATAATAAACATATTTTTATATTTATTTTTTGATTTTTTTTAATAGTAATTTGCAATATATATTATAAGAAAGAATAAAAATTCTTGGTGTTTTCGATTTTATATAATAAAATATTAATTAGTTAGTAGACTAATTTAATTAATATTTAATTTGTCTTGGGTTACTAAAAATTTCCAGACACTTTTTCCTAAGTATACCAAACAAGTATTACCTGAAGTAAAACTTATCTCTGTTACAGTTAAAGCTTTCTTTTCGTATACAATAAAATACAAAACTGCCAGTACTCGGCCAGTACTGAACCAGTAGTGGTTACCATTACTGGTGACAACTCTGGCAGCCAATACTGGTAAAATGTTATCATCCCAAAGTTACGCCAACTCTGGCGCCAATACTGGATGCCAGTACTGCGCCAGTACTGCGCCATTAGTAAATTTTTGATTGGGTATATTTATTTTGAATAAAAAATTTCTCTAAAGAATTTATTTTCTAGATAAAATGGCAATAAGAATTAAAATTCTATGGATGTTTTCATAGAAAGAAAAAGATGTAGATAACAAGAAATTTAAACAATATCAGGAAAGTGTATATATGTTATAGTTTATCACAATTACGAATGGGCTATTAAGGAATATCATTTGATAGGATCCGTTAAGGGCCTTTCTCTTGCAAGCATAGTTGCGTGTAGGATTTTGTCGATCAATTAAAAGATTTTCAATGGCTATCCATAAAAGGGGGGGTTAGGGACCTGAATACAATACAAATGCAGTCTCTTGTTGGGACTTCGCAAGAATCCTTTGGCTCATTCCATTCATTATCGTGTTTCTTTTTTTTTTTTACATATCCTAATTTAGTAAACAAGTTTATGTTTTTCTGTTGAAACGCGTGAATCGTGACACGCGTGTATTCGACATAATTTTCATTGAGATATACATTCTTGATTCTCTCTTGTTTGTTATACTTATTTATTTTTAATTTATTTTTTTTTTCGTTTTTCTTTTTCGATATACTAACGGTCAAGAAATGATAGAATCTCTCGCTTTTTGCGTTGACCGCACGATTCTATATATGGATTCTGTTCGTGTACGTTTAGGAGGACACACGACTGTCGAGGACAGGAGGATATATAATTATCTCGATCGCTCTGATATTCGACCTACTCGTCGTGACACACTGGAAATCGGAGTTTGACTATCTGCCTCTCGTTACGTGCAACAGGGCATTGGAACAAAAGGCCAGAGTTACTCTCCTGATGCAACGGATATGTGTACGTGAACGTGTTTCAAAGTCACCTTATACTCACCTACACCCTCCCCCCCGCCCTTATCAAGCATTTGTAGTCTCAAATTATTTCCAAACAATCACGTCAAATTCTCGTTTAGTTTAAACCATCATCGGTGTGCTTTTGGTACACTTTATTACATTCTCTTTTAAAACATATATTTTCTGCTCTTATAGTGCGATTTTTTTATTTATTTTTACTTTCATTGATTATATATTACATATTAATTGTAATATTGAGGGAATATTATATCTAATATTGAGGGAATATTACTCGGTAATATTGATATAATATTCCATTTGAGGTAATATTACATTGTAATATTACATTGTAATATTAAGGAAATATTCAGTGAAATATTTTTTTTTAAATGAAAAAATAGGTGAAGGAGACAAGAATCGAACTCGGAACCTAACGCATATCAGTCGAGATTCTTAACCAACAGACCAATTGTAGTTCAAGTATGATTTGACAAAATATGTATTGTAAGCAACATGTATTTTATATTTTGTGAATAACTTAAACAAATACAATTTGTTTGTTGGTTAAGACATTACTGTAATATTACACCGTAACATTACGAATTTTAAATGAAATATTACCTTAATATTAAGGTATTAATAAAATAGTAAAATTAAGATTCTTAAATAGTTTGTTAGTAAATATTTAAAATTAATAATTTTTCAAAATAATTAATAAATTAATTTAATAAATAATTTTAATAAATTAATAATTTAAAATTATAATTTCAATTAGAAAATATGTTTTGATTTCTTTTAATTTTATGATTAGTAGTAAAATTAAGTATTAGTCAGACCAACATTATTCGTCAGTTAACATTTTGTTTAAGTAGTAAAAAGCAGTTTTGATCAGATAAGATTTTAGTATTTTTTTGAAAAATTTTACTGTGAGTAGTAATAGTAAATTTTAGTCAGACATTTTTAATGTTATAAAAATCAGCTCTAGTCAGGCAGAACGTTTTTAATTTGTCTTATTTTTATATCAGTAGTAAAAGTCAGTAACAGTCAGACGGAATATTTTATAATTAATTAAAATCATGATACCAATATAGTAAAAAGTTAATATAATCAGATTACACCCTTAAAAACATTTGTTATTTTAAATATCAGTAGTACAAGTAAATATAAATCAGACAGAACGGTTAAAAATCTTGACAATTTTCATATCAATCATAAAATTAAGTTTTAGTCAGACATTTTTTTAAAATAAAATTTAAATGCAGAATATACAATTATTTATTATTTAAAATTTAATTTTCCATTTTTTTTACAAAAATGATTATAAAAATTTTAATTTTTCATCTCGTTTTTTTCTCCTTACCTAATATTTCTCTATATGTAAGAATTGTAAAAATTACGTCTGATGTGCCAATGGTCTTTGTACTAACTCGCCGAAAGAAATTTCATTAAACGTGAAAGTTTTCGCAAAACTTTTTAGAATGAGTCAAAGTAAAGTAACTTCTTATGAAGATGGTGACTTGGTCAAAACTTTGATCATAACGTCATTTTTACATTAAATTATGTCAAAGTAATAAGCTCAATTGTTATATTTAGGTCATTGAACGCGTAACTCGAGCAAAAAGGACCATATAACTTTTTTAATTTCTATAATATAAAAAAAATATTTGCTCACAATTTACGTTAATTAAAAAGTTTCTACGAATTTTTTTTTTTTTAATATTAAAAATATATATTTTTCCTTTGTGTATATTTTTTTTTTTTTTTGAACAGTTATTTTTCTCGTCCTTTTTCAAAATATACGTCTCGTAATAGGTAAACGAAATTTATCTCACGTAAATATTTTTCCCGCACATATTTCAAATATTTTTTTTTAAAATACAATTTTATCACTGTCCCTCGTTCATTTTTCTCTTTTTTTTTTGACATACTTTTCTTTTATTTCTCTAAAAAAAGAAAATTTTTTTTCTATAGCTTTCAAAATTTATCTATTTTTCAAGTTAAAAACAAATTATTTTTGTCAAAGGTACAATTATTGGAAATTTAATTAATTAAATTTTTCTGTAAGTAAATTAAATTTTTTTTTTTTTCGTAAATTTAGTTTGTCTTTTAATAAGGGGTCAAATGTTATACCTGCATATCATTTTCTGCTTGGGAATATGCAGTGCTTGCAAAATCATTGTCCAAAACCGCATTGTCGGTGTCCATTGCGTTGATGAGTTACTGCATGCAAGTCTAAAGTTTATGCGTGTAACGGACGAGAGGCCCGTGGTCTTTTGTAACAGTTAGTTGGTGGTCACAGCGAATCGTCTGCTACATTACAACCTGAAAGTACAATCTCGAGCCCATAATTAGTCTCAAATTACCTGCAGGCCTCGAAATTAGTTAATGTCATCCCCCTTACTTGTAATGGGATTATTTCATCGAACATATTACAAAACCCACATCACTCATTTCACTTTTCTTCTATTTTTAAATTTTAACTTCATAATTGCTTTGAAAAAAAAAATTAATAATAAATAAATTTTAATTATTTAAATATTCCATTTTTTTTAAAATTAATTTTCTTCTCTATTTTAGAGAATTCATTTAGAATTTTTTCCTTCTTTTTTTTTTTTTTCTTGAAGAAAATAATTAAATTTTTAAATGTTTCCCCAATGGAAAAAAGAACGTTAATACGCAAACATTTTCTTGAGCCTCTGGGAAAAAGAGAGGAGAAAAAACTTATTAATCGGAGATCTTAACCTTTGACACAATTTCCACTAGAGAAGCTTATTTCAAGTCAGACATTTTTAATCTTCGAAAAAATTTCCATTAGATGGTAAAAATGTAAATTATAAATAATATACATTTGATCGACAATCACTTTTTTTTTTGAGAATAGAGGATTTATATAGCTTTTTTTTTTATAACTAAAAAATTTGTGGAAGAAAAAACAAAAATTTTTAACAAAGATTTTTGAAAAGAAGAAAAAAATTGATTTGGAACGACATCAGAGTGAATGCAGAATTGGATTTTTTTTTTCCTTTTTATTTATAATATTATGCAATTTTTGGAAATGGAAACTGTGGTTCCCTAAATCCCAGGGACGCTGTGTTTTTTTTTCGCAGATCGGCAGTGACAGCAGTATCTTGGCATCCACATGGCACATTCTTGGCATCGGTTGATAGGGCGAAAAAAGCAACAATTTGGGGTGATCACGTTTGACATGAAGAATTATCCTGAAATGGACAATTATTTGCCCTGACTAAAATCTCAAAAGTCCTTTTCAAGGTATCAATTTATAAAAAATATGAACAATGGTTCGTGGTTGCCTGTCGCATGTTAAAAGACAATATTTTCATCGCAACATTTTGAAATGAAAAATCAAAAAAAAAAATCGATTTTTTTCAATATAAAAAATAAAAATCGATCATCATTCTCAAAAATAAGATTTCAAACAATTTGAATAAGATTCAATTGATTGTTATAATCAACGATTATTCTATTTTTTTAATCAATGTATAAAAAATTGTATATGAGTTTTTTTTAAATCTCTTATATATATATATAGATACATTTGATATTGAAGGAAGAGTGAGAATCAAATTTTTATTATTTCTTTTTTGTTTTCTTTTTCTTTAAAAGGAACTGAAAGTGCTAAAATATTCTTCGTGTTAAAAAAAAAAGAAAATAGTTAACATTTGTCACAAAAAAAAAAGAAATGTCATTTTATATATATAAAAAGAAAAAGATGTTCTGCTTTTTAGCTGGATACAACATTTTCTACTTATTTTTTTACGATAATCTTTTCCTTTTATATGTATGTATACGATTGTAGATACTTCTATAAGGAACCCGATATTTCATAAAGGTTATTTCCATGGCTCGTTGAATCTTACAGTTTACAGAAACGTCAGTTCGCGTTGAATTTATTATTCCTAAATACAATTCGATGTATTCAATATTCTTTATACTTGAATTTTAAACAAGTTCTTGAAAAGATTAAAGAAAACATTTTCTTTTTTTTTCTCTTTTTCTCTTTCTTACTTTTTTCTCTCTGTTACTCTCTTTCTTTCTCTCTCTCACTCTCACATGATGATAAAACGCAAAACTTCTCGTTTAATTAAAATTCTTATCAACTCCCGGTGTACGTTAATTATTATTTAAATATATTCAATTTCGCGAGGCGAGTTGACGTTGCATTTCAACACATTGAAGGAATTTTGAAAATATTTTAATTGAAATCGACCATTATAATACGCTTATATGGTGAAAATATTAATCAATATATTAATTGTAAGTTCCTAAAATTTACATCACATCCGCAAGAGATTTTTAGTTTTAGAAATTATAATTTTTTTAAATTAGTGGAAATTGAGATAATTATTTTTTCAAAAAAGTAATGAAAATTGAAAATACTAAACTTATGATTAGAAATAAAAATTGTGGAATTTAATTCAAATTTTCTCATTTTTCACTGAATCTTGAATATTTCTACTTTTAAGTTTTTATTTTAATTTTATTTTTTATTTAATTTTTAAAGATATTATTTACAAGTCCATTTTTAATTACAATTATATATATATAAAAAATATACGAGATTAATGAAGTATTTAATAAAAAATTGTACAAAGAACTCGTAATGCTAATGTAAACTGCGTATACAGAGCAAACAGAAAATTTTGTAAAAAAAAACCACAACAAAAAAAAGTTTTTTTTAAAACAAAATAGTTTGCCATAATCGCAAAAGTGGATTTTGTACAAAAAAAACGCATTTATGCACAAATTATTAAAAAAAAGGTAGAAAATGATTTGTAAAAATTATTTTTAATTTTTGTCAAAAAAAAGTTAAAACAATTTTTTTTTTTTTTTAATGTATATATATACAATTTTTTCAGCTCTCACTAAGTCCGGTTACTTGTCTGAAAATCTGTATTTTAATTAAGAATTAATGTATACAATGTCAGTATAAAATATATTTCATGTTTTTTTTTCTCATAATATTTCTTGTACTTTTTTTCCTATTTTTTTTATACTCTGTTTTCTTTCATTTGTAATTTCTGCATTTTTTTCTTTCACAATATACTTGTTATCGAATTTTTATCCATTGCGTACTTTGTTTTATATAAAGTCTATATTTTTCTTGCAATCAGGTAGAAAGTGTACATTTCCTTCAAGACGAAAACTTTATTTCCAGAAAGAAGAGTTTCTTTTAATAAAAAAAAGAAAAAGAAAAAAAAACTGTTGCCTTTTCTATTTTAAGTGAAATTTATTTACGGTCAAAGGAAGCGTCGACTAACAGACAAGATAAGTATTACAATTATTATTATTTGGTTTTTATTATAATTACAATTTGTTATTTTTATGTTAATTTTACAAATTATAAATAAATAAATAATTTTTATTTTCGTAAATGAAAAAATTAAAGAAATTATTTTATAAATTGAGTTTTATTGTAAAATTTATTTATTTTTTTTTTTTTTTATCAAAAAAAGGCGAATATTTCAATAAAATTTTCTTTTCGGAATTTCTCGTGGAATTTTTGGATATTTCTTTTATGTGATGAATCTCTTGAAAAATGTTGTCGTGTCAGCTTTATATGGGGAGTTTCCTTCCTTTACCATCTTTACTCTGATACACCTTTCTTGAGGGGCTTTCTTCCACAGTATCAGTATAACGATTGCTGATGATAGTATATAGATATAAAACGTTCTTGTAGTTTCAAAAGCGCTCATTAGTCACTGAGATACGGTCACACAAAGTGACAACTCGCGAGCATTGCATGGTTCAAGAAGTTCTCTCTGTGACTCTCTCTCTCTCTCTCTCTCTCTCTTTCGTATCGCGCAAGAGAACTGTTTGTAACTTCAGCATTATGCTCTTTTACTATGCGATCGACACTTTCGACAGTTCGACCATCAAATGCGAAAATCGTGACAGTCAAAAGGAAAAGTAGAGGGGTGGGGGGGCGGGTTTGAGAACCAGCTGCAAATTACGTCAAAGTTCAAAGCTTCCGGAAATCTTATTACAAAATTTTCCAAGTTTTCAATTTAAGATGAAACTTGCATTCTACAACTTCAACTTCGACAGGTTTTCAATTGTTTCACAGTTCTCTGTTTTCCGCTTCATTCTTTTAATAAAATTATTTTTTATTGTTTTGAGCAACGCGATGAAAATCTGTAAACCACACACACACACATACAGTTTATTACATCGAATCAATAATTGCTAACTTTTCAGGGATTTCGTTAAATATTAATTTGTGATAAATAAAAATTCAAAAAAGCTAATTAAAATATATTTTTTATTTCTTTGACTTTTTATGTTTGGAAAATTTTTAGTTTAATCAAATTAAATAGTAATTGTGGATAAAAAAATAAATAAATGGGATAAAAAATATAATAAATGTTTTTAAGAAATGCTTATAGTGAAAAATATAAACACAGTTTGTGTAAAAATAAAATTTTCTGAAAACAATTTTTACTTATTAGCTATTTAGAAGAATAAAAAAAAATTGTCTGACTAAAACTAACATTCGCTACTAGTAGAAAAATTATTGAAATTTGAAATATGATGTCTGACTAAAACTAATTTTTACTATTTAGATCAAAGTTAATAGTACCACATATAAATGTCTGACTCAAACTTACTATCACTACTGATACTAAAACAAAATTTAAAAACGCTCCGTCAAATCAGATCTGACATTAAACTACTAAAACTAAAATTTTAAGCCTGTAAAAAAAGAAATCTAATTTTTAGTAACCAAATTTTTTATTTAAATTAATTTCTTACCTTATTAACATTTTTGCAAAATTTAGAAGTGATTATTATAAAATTTGACTATATTGCAAAAAATAGTATTTAAATAAATAATTTGCAATTCTTTAATCTATAAATATAAAATTAAATATTTAATTTAATTTAAAAAATAAAATAATAGAAGGGTTAATAAAACTTTAGAAAAAAAGGCATAATATATAAAAATAGATTTTCTATAATGTGAGAACGGAAGGAAAAAACACAAACACTTATGGAATTTATTAAACATGGCTCTATTTCTAATCAGTAAATTCACGTTGTGTTAGCGCATCTAAATTAATGTAATTTTAGCAATTTAATTACATAATATTAATTATTGTCAACAAATTGATGAAAGCGGAATAGATTGAAATGCCTTCAATGTTTCGTCATGCATTGGTGCCTTTATTATAGTGATTTCATGAATAATCTTCACTGAAGAGAAGGCAGTTAATTATGTTAGTAAAATAGAATTTATGTTTGAATTATAATCAAGTAATAGGCTAATTATATATTATAAATCGTTGGATTATGCATTAAAAATTTTTTATTTTAATTAGCATACATATTATAAAATATTCTACCATTTTTTTTTTATTAAAAAGTTTCATATAGTGTAATAATAAAATTGTATTTTCATAAATAATTTTTTAGTGTGATTTTTGAAAAGTTAAAATGATATCTGACTGTCAAATAAATATGTCTAATCTCGTGTTCTTATATAGTTATATAAAAAGTCACTGATGAGACTATAAATTTTTCGTTTTTTTTTTTTCCTCTTTTCTTTTTTTTTGGACGAAACTTTTCAAGCCTGCACTCGTTATTCTCCTCTTGCTAAGTTCATTCTCCACCTCTACTTTTATACGAGAAACAATTTAACGTTCTTAAAGGAAGTTCAGAAAGTTTTTAAAGCTTCCAAAAGACGTCTTAAGAACATGTTGGTGTTAGTTGGGTATAAAATTTTGTGTTATCAATAAAACCGTTTTTTACAACTCAATTTATTGAGAAATAGAGTAAACCATTTTCTCTCTCTTTCTCTCAGTAACGTAAAAAAAAAGTGGAGAAAAAAAAATTTTCTTGTATATTTAACTTTTTTTTCTATTTTCTATTTTAATAATATAAAAGGATGTGAAATAAAGGTTGAATGAGGAAATATATATATATATATTTTTTTTTTTGAGATAAATTCACCCTACTTTTTGGTTGATTCAAAGATCATCTAAAAGCGTTACATTTAAGCTTGAAGAATGATGGTTGGCGATTAGTCGTATTCCTGTCTTCATTTTAATTAATATCTCAGATACCACGCCTCTTGACGATCCAAGCAAAGGGGAACACGACAATTTTCTTCATTAAAATTTTTATTACTGCTTTAATCCAGGAAAACTGTCTTAATTTATTATTTACGACAGTAAATTTGTTGCTCTTTTTTATTAGTCACTCTTAATATCCAGTTTAATTGCAATTTGACAATTTCATCTTTTTTTTTCTAACGTAAAATATTTACTTTCATGTAATTTACTGCTTGCTTTTTTTCTATATTTGCATAAATAAAAATTAACGAAAAAAAAACATTTTTCAAGAAAACACATTAATATTTTCAAAAAACGTTTTTTCATAAAATTTTTATTATATTTTACCGTGTTAAATAAATTGAATGAATTTATTTTTTTAATAAAGCACTTTTTGCGCAAAAGAAAGGAGATTTTTTTTTTCATCAGTGTAAAAATTGATTTAATGTATCAGAATATTTGACTTGTAATGTTCCTATGAACTACAAGAGTGTTTTCTTCAAAGTATATACGGGTTGTTTATTAAGTAGAAAAATGTTCTTTAAGTATTTTACAACATAACTTCTTATCGCGAACAATTTTTTTTTTTTCTTTATAATCTAGGTCATCATAAATTACCAGAAAATTAGCTTATAAATTTACTTTATATCATGGAAGTTGCGGTTTTATATAGTTATGCATTTTATCAGAACATAAAATGTGTCGTCAAATATTTTACAATTATCGATTAAATTTTTTTTTCATTTTCAAATCAGTATGGTAAAATTATAATGTTTTAGTCAGATATTTATAATTTTGTTCGGTTTTTTTTTATAAGTAGTATGAATCAATTTTCGTCAGACATTTATTATTTCATTTAAAATTTTTACTAGTAGAGAAAGACAGTTTTAGTCAGACAATGTTTTTTTTTCAATTTTTATATAAAGGTTATAAGAAGTTACCAATAGTTTCAGTTAAACAAAATATTAAAAAAATTTTAATTATAGTATTAGTAGTAAAAACTCATTTCTGACACACGAAATTTTAAATTTCATGTTTTTAGAATTAGTAAAAAATAAGTTTTAGCTAGGCAAGTGATTTTAATTTGTCGTGTCTTTCTAATATATATTCTAATATTTTTCTATATTTTTAAAATCAGTAGTAAAAAATAATTTACGTCAGACAAGATGTTGGAAATTTTTTTTTATTTTTGAATCACAGTAGTAAAATACGCTTTTAGTTTGATTATTTTAATTTTCGTTATTTTTCGTAGTAAAAGTCATTTTTAGTCAGACTAATGTTATTTTTCTTATTTTTAGTAGTAAAATACAGTTTTAATCAGATTTTTGCAATTTTTGTTATTTTTAGTAGTAAAATTCAGTTTTAGTCAGACTTTTGCGATTTTTGTATTTTTAGTAGAAAAATTCAGTTTTAGTGTGACTATTGTTATTTTTTTATTTTTTTAGTAATATAAGTAGATTTCATTCAGCCAAGTTATTTTAAATTCTTGTATCTTTCTAATAAGTAGTAAACTACAGTTTTGGTTAGGCACATTTTGTTTAATTTCAGTAGTAAAATTTTTTTTCCGTCAGACTACAAGTTGGGTATTTTTGTTATTTATTATCACAGTAGTAAAATATGGTTTTAGTCAGACAAATTGTTTTAAATTCCTGTTTCTTTCTAATAAGTAGTAAACTACGGTTTTGGTAAGTCCATTTTTTTAATTTCAGTAGTAAAAATTTATTTTAGTCAGACGAGACATTGGGTTTTTTTATTCATTATTACAGTAGTAAATTACAGTTTTGGTCAGACAATTGAATTTTTTTGTTATTTTAGTAGTAAAATTCAGTTTTAGTCAGACTATTCCAATTTTTTGTTATTTTTCGTAGTAAAAGTCATTTTTAGTCAGACTATTGTTATTTTTTCTTATTTTTAATAGTAAAATACAGTTTTAGTCAGACTTTTTCAATTTTTGTATTTTTAGTAGAAAAATTCAGTTTTAGTGTGACTATTGTTATTTTTTTTTTGTTTTTTTAGTAATAAAAGTAAATTTCATTCAGCCAAGTTATTTTAAATTCTTGTATCTTTCTAATAAGTAGTAAACTACAGTTTTGGTTAGGCACATTTTGTTTAATTTCAGTAGTAAAAATTTTTTTCCGTCAGACTACAAGTTGGATATTTTTGTTATTAATTATCACAGTAGTAAAATACGGTTTTAGTCAGACAAATTGTTTTAAATTCCTGTTTCTTTCTAATAAGTAGTAAACTACGGTTTTGGTAAGTCCATTTTTTTAATTTCAGTAGTAAAAATTTATTTTAGTCAGACGAGACATTGGGTATTTTTTTAATTCATTATTACAGTAGTAAATTACAGTTTTGGTCAGACAATTGAATTTTTTTGTTATTTTAGTAGTAAAATTCAGTTTTAGTCAGACTATTGTACTTTTTATTGTGTTTATAGTAGTAGACGTCAGTTTCAGTCATACAATCTCTTTTATTTTGTTGTCTATTTCCTATAGTGGTAAAAAACATTCGAAAGTTTAGTTTTGATTCGAAACTAAACAAATCAGATGTAATTCTAATATCAGTAGTAAAACACTAAAAAAATAGAAAATTCTTTTTAATTCCAATAGCAAAGGAGAGAAAATATTCAGACAAAAAAGTAAGAATAAAATTTTTTTTCAAAATCACATAATTTTTCCATCAGTAGTAAAAGTAAGATTTAGTCAGACAATTTTAAATAATAAAGTACGTTGAAAAAAATTATTTCCTCTTTGGAAAAAAATAACGTTACAAGTTAGGTTCAAATTTACATGAATATTACAGCTTTTCAATATATATATATATATATATATAATATATATATATATATGTCCACTGAACTTAAATGTCTTCAATTTTTTATAGACTTGAAGGAATTCAACTTAAGACTTCTGATTGTGAAATCGTTTATCCTCTGATGTGATCTTCCATCAGAAAGTAGGACCAAAACCGATTTTCCAGCGTCCTATATAATCGAAAGTTGGAAGGGGGGGGGCAAAAGAGAGCGAGAGGGAGTATCGATATTGAAACGTAAAAAAGATTCAATCAGTCGCGAAGTTTCAGCGCCAATCAATCACCCGGCTGGACGGGCGAAGCTCGCGCAGCCCTATGCTGGCGCTTCTCTCGCGACCAGCGTTAAAATGGCCGAGCTTTTATGTTGGCGTCGACGCACTGCAAGCTCGATGCGCTTGCGGCGAGAGCTCAGTAGCCGCTCGAACGTCGGGAGAAGCTTAGTTTTCTCAGAAGAGCGCTTCCTTCTATCATCCGAGAAAAGTCCATTAATTTTTTTTTTACTGGTGTCAAAAAAAAAAAAAAAAAAAAAAAAAAACCAATTTCAAAAATTTTCATTTTTATCAAAAAGAAAAGAAAATTTTTTTTTTTCTTTTATTTCTTCAATTTTTCCTTTCCAACCCTTACAACCCCGCACAAGGAGTTATATATATATGTGTGAAAAGTTGAAAAGAAAGTGGTGAAATTTTTTATTTTTTCCCTTAAAAAAAAAAAATAACCTCCAAATGGACCGTTATAACGGTCCCGGAAGTGGTGAAAAAAAATATCCTGTGAAATGAACATCTATGTTTGGTGGTGAATCGTGTCGCGTGCTCGTTTGAAGTTTGTTAAGCGCGCACGATGGGAAGTAACGTCAAGAAACGACACGCGCTTACATTTATATATTCGTTTCTTCTTTTCCTCGTTATAATCACCGGTAAGCCATAAAAAAAATTTTTTCCAACGATTTGTGAATTGTGTACAGTGATTTTCATTAAAAAAATTTTTTTTTTTGATTAAAAATCAAAAATTTAATGGTGCCATTACTGAAAAAAAGGATTTGGAGATTTTTTTTTCGTTTGAAGAAAAGTGAACGCGTAAGCGACGCTTCAAAATCTAGTCAAACATCAAATACCTTTGGGAGGGAAAAAGGGGGAAAAAAAGGGAAAGAGAGAGAGAGATTGTGTCTTGCTAAGTAAAAGTGATTCGATTCGCTGAAAATCTGGTTCACAAAGTTGGTCCTATCCTTTACCATCGACTCTTTGCGTGAATCGCTTAAGTTTGCAGAGAAGAACCAAAAGTTTCCGATAAAAGCACGCTACCGGCACTCCGCTTACCGAAGCGAAATCAATTCAATTCAATCGTCGATTTCGCAGGCCAGAAGCATTTAAATCGTTGCATTTCAACGAGTTGAATTTCAAATTTTATTCCTCTGCACGATTCCGGGAGAAAAAAAAAATTATTAATAAAAATTTTCCATACTTTAGGGACAAATATGAATAGATTCAAGTTGTTCCAAATTTAATTTCCATTTGAAATAAATAAGGGGAAAAAAAATTATTCAAAAGTCTTCAAAAACGTTTTCATCATCAAAAGTTAAAATCTGAAAAAAAATTTCGTGAAGCTTTTTTTTTAAAAAAAAAAGAAAAGAGTAAAGAAAACGTTTTAGAACTTTTTCTTTTGTGTAAGTCGTCAATTCATAATAATCTTGAAAAGAAAATCTCTGTATCTGACAGAGAGTATCAGTTTCTTTGATATTTCCTCTTGAAGAATCTCGAGTTTATCAATTTTTCTCTAACTACAAAAAAAAAATCAGTCGATTGAAATCCAGTAAGGAAAAAGTCATTAAAATTCAAACTGTGAATTTAAAAATACAATTTTCAATTTTTCATAACTGCAGAAATCACAATGAATTTCAATCGGAAAAGGAAACTATTAAAAATTAAATTGTGACAAATTTGCTTTTGATAAAATAAAAAATGAAACAATAAAATTTTAAAATATTTCTAAAAATAGAAATTTTTTAAACTCATTTCTGAAATTATCACTATTATAACAAATTCTCTATCATATAATATTGTTTCTGCTAATTAGTAAGATAATAATAATTTTTTTATGAAAAACATATTATTCACATTTCATAACATAATTTACTGAAATCATTAAAAAAAATAGAAAATTAATTAACAACAGAATAATAATTTCCTCCACATCACATCGTATATAACAATATAACCATTGAGGATTATTTTTGATTCAATATACAATATGAAACAATAAATTTCAATCGGAAAAGGAAACTTTGTCAAAAAATTAAATTTGACAAATTTCCCTTTGACAAATAAAAATAACAATAAATATAAAAATTTTTGAAAAAATATTTCTGAAACAAATTTCAAACAAAAATGTTTCTAACAAAATATTTCTAAGAATAGAAAGTTGTATAAAAAAATTACAAAAAAATATATAAAAATATTTAAAAAAAAAATACAACAATAACGTTATAGAAAAAAAATATTTGGTAGAAAACAATAAAAAAAAAAATTTCCGGAAAAATTGAATAAAGAAGACATGTTGTGTCAAGTACAATAGAAAAAAAAAACAGTACAAAAAATAAATTCGATCTGTAAAAAGTAATAAAAATTGACAAAAAACAATTTTTTATATTGAAAAAGAATAAAAAAATAAATAATTCTTTTTATATTAGAACGAATCTAATATAATTAAAATAAAAAAAAATTTTATCGAGGAAGTAATTTCGTATTCAAGTCGAAGAATTTTTTTTTTTATAAAATTTCATATTTACATCGAATGACACGTAATACCATAAATATGGCCGTTATGCTAAATTGTGCTCGGATTTTCCACAACTAAGGTGGTATTAAATTTAACAACTGTTTTTTTGCATCGCGAGCGGTCCCTGGGATTTCAAGAGAGAAAGAGAGAGAATGAGAGAGAGAGAGAGAGAGAACGCTTTAGCAACTCCATTCAAGCAGCGTGAATGAATTTACTGAAAAAGCAAATTTCCATATCGCGCTGGTAAACTTGCAAACCTAATTGGAATATTGCCAGTGAAACTATAATATAATGCTTGTACGCGCAGTAGATATTAATAATGAGCGAGTAGCAAGAGGAAGTTCACATAATCTAACACCCTACCTTACATGGATATTCAAGCCGATACATCATTCCTGTCTCGCACGTAAATGGAATCAAACTTTGATTCATCGCAAGATTAATAGCAAATACTAAAATCGATTGCATCGCGCTCTACTTGAAGCTGAAAAGCTTTTAAAATCTTCAATTAGCCGCAGAGTATTTGTTTAGCCCTTTTCTCTTTAAAATCCATTTTCCTCCGCCCCCCCCCCTTTTTTTTCGTGAAACTAATTTTTCAAACTTCCAAGCGAAAGGATGCAAAAAAAAAAAAAAAAATTAATATTTTTTTTTTCGAAGGTGCCATTATACTTGAAACTTTAATTTAGATCAACAATTTTTTTTCGTCATTTGTCTTTCGCTAAATTGAAGCTAACTTTATTTACAATTTAATAAATTGAAAATTCTCTTGTGAATTGTGATTGAGTTGTAATTTTTTTCTGTGACAGTTAAATAAATTTTATAATGACCGAAAAGCAAAATTTATTTAAATAACAATTTTTAAAGTTGTATTTATTACTTAAAATCATCATTTCATACACTGAAAAAAATTATTTGATTCAAATAAAATCGATTACTTGGTCATTATTAAATAAATATTTTTTTTTTTGTTAAATTATTATCATTATTATTTTACATTTTTAGCTTCTCCATTGCCTAGAGCTTCTATTAATTAAAGCTACAATTGTTCGGATTCACTATTAATTAAAAAATATTATTGATTGAAGCAGCTATATTATGAATTAAAGTCATTATAAATTAAAACAAACATTATTTGAATTAACGATTTACGTTTTTACCATTGTTCGAAGCTTTTATCATTTGTGGGTTTCGAAAAACCGTACATGAAAATACTATAGATATCAATTTACTAAACTAATATTTGAAATTATAATTTTATTTAATTAAAACTACAATTAATTAAATTTAACAATTTAATTGAAATATCCAAAGAAAATTATATTTTTAAAAAAAATGTCAAAATGTTAACAATTTAATTTATTTATTTTTATAGAAAAAAAAAAATTAAAATTATTGTTTTGCAATTTAATAAATACGATAATTATTATCGCAGCAAGCTTGAAATGCGAGTATTTCGCACATAAATAATAATAATTAAATCCGTAATTTAATCAACGAAATTGATAAAATTTGTGCAAATGATAAGGATTTTGTTAATTATTTAATACTTTTAATTATAAAAAAAAAATTGTTAATTGAAAAAGAAAGATGATAATTAATAAAAAAAAAAAAATGAAATATGAGGTAAAAATATATAATTTAAAGTGAAAAGAGAGTTTTTATGGTTTTATAAAAGTTGAGTGATATTTTATGTTCTTTTATACATTATATGTAAAATTATAAAGTATATGAAATATGAAAATATAACATCTGATAGCTTTTGACACAAATGGAATTATAATAAAAATCTTATTATTAAATTCTCCTTATCTCTGTTGAGGGGAGTTAACCTTTTGCACGTCATGGAATAGTTGATGGATCACTCACAGCAAAAAGAAAAAAAAATAAATAAAAGTACGCGCGTTCACTGCTCTTCATCTCTCTTTTACTCATTCGGTTTCAGTCATTTCAGAGCCTGATTAAATAATTTTTTTTCTGACACTTAATTATAAACAATTATTACTAATTTCATTATTATTTACTAAAATGTAATTTAATAATTATTCATTCCAATTTAATTAATATTTACTCAAATTCAAATTAATAATTATTCATTTTAATTTAAATAATTTTTTATTTACTTTAATTTCATTAATTTATTACTTTAATTAAAATATTTTAATTTTACTGAGTTAAAATTATAAATAATTCATATACAAAATATGCAAAAGTAAGACACTAATTTTTTTCAGAAAAACTTTTCTTAAGAAAATGTAAAAAAAAATATATATATTTTAAAGACAAATAAAAACTTTTATATTCAAGTAACATGTGGTAATATATGATTATGTATTTTTGACTACGCATATTAAAGTTGACATAAAAAATATTAGCTTTTTTTTTTTAATAACAATTGTGAATTAGTGCAGGGAAAATTTTCTAAAACTTTATTAAAACATAAAAATTTTCTTTGTTAAATTTTCCCAGAATATCACTGTCAGCTGCAGTTAACTTCATATATAGAGCTATATACAAAATTAAACATTTCGCAGCAGTTTTGTAATTGAAGAAATTCCCCACGGAAATTTGAAATAATATAAAAATTATATATACGTTTTTATAAAAAAAAACAAGTTTATATCTAATTAATATTAAACTGTCTCGTTTAAAAGTAGTTAATTTTATCATTTTAACACAAGTTCTTTTTTTTCTATTTTTATAGAAAAAAGAAGTCAAAAAAGAAATTAAATTTAAAAACAAGAATTAATATTAAACTGTCTCATTTGAAAATAGTTAATTTTATCATATGTTTTGATAATTTTTTTCTCATTTTTCATAGAAAAAAAACGGAAGTGAAATAATTTTTTTTTTTTTTTTAAATCAGGTCGGGTACAGATATATATATATATATATATTTTATATCAAGAGTGTAAATCGTATTTCATAGATGAATTATTAAACTGTTAGGCGAAGCAAAATTGATCCTCTTTTCAAAGTTCTCTCCGACAACTCTCCAAACACTCTAGAGCTTTAACTTGTTTTGAGTTATGATCCTTCGTATATATATATATATAGGTAAATCTACGACTATACAATAGGGACAATTTTCATAAGTTCATGATTATTATACTATACATATAGTATAAAATTTGTCAAGTTACA